ATTTTTATTTTAAAATATTTTAATCTCGCGTTTGTCGCGGGACAAAAATTAGCATACATGTATTAAATTAGCGATAGATTAGCTGGATCCAACTTTGTGCGGATATTTATGTTAATTATACCCTATTTAGTAAGTATTTTATATGTTAAAAATATGATATATACTGTATAATGTAAAGAAAAACTTTCACAAGGTATATGCCATTTTTTTTTAAAGTGATATTTTTTTCTTTTGTATTTATCTAAACTGTCATTGCTGCAAGAGCATACAGAGCATCCTTAGCCAAGGAATCACCAACAAAATTAGCTGTCCTTGGAATAAACTTGAAAGAGATAGAATCAAATCTTTTAGAAAGAGTTGCGATATAGCTGAGAATACCATGAAGTTTGGAAACACATGAGCCTGCGTTGATGGCTCTTACCAGTTGTAAGAAGTCAGATTCTACCGAGATTGTCCTTATTTCTTCTTCCGTCGCTTGTAGTAAGACTGCTCTAATTGCCAACCCTTCGGCCACTAGCGGAGAGTTAACATGGTTGGAGCCGTTGGAGAAGCTACACAGCACTTTGGAATGTTGATGCGTGAACGTCCAACCTAAGTCAGCCAGTTGAAGATCTTCCCGCCATGCTGCATCTGTTTGACACACGTACTCGGCAGTGTGAACATCAGTGGAGATAGACACCAAAGGCCCAAAATGTTTTGATATTTAGTTTCAATAATCCCTAGTTGAAAGTTGTATGAAGTTCGTCCCAATAATAACTATACTAAATTTAATCAATTTCCGATTGTTTCTTCCCCGAATTAGTTTTAATTTGTAAATATCTGTCAATATTAAGGCTCTCTAAGCCAATGTTTGAGAGGTTTTTGTAGATGCTTTTGAGGTGTTTCCATGGCTCTTACTAGTATTACGCATGCAAGAGTCCATCAGTCCATGTCTTGTACCTAGCTAAAGCTTCCAAACGAGATCTTTTTACTAGTATTTATCTTATGATCTTTTTTTTAGATCGTCTGCTTTGTTTTTACCTTCAGCTTCATCTCTTTTGTCTATTGTCCCTTGGTATTATTCTTAATTTCCTTATCACAATATATAATTTTAAGTTTTTGAGATTTCATATTATTAGATGTTTATTTTGTTAAAATGTTTCCATATTAAAATGAGTTTAATAAATGAGTTCGGCTTCTTGGAAGAGATGTTTGGACTGTGTATGAACTAGGATCTTGATTAGTTTCTTAATTCTTTCTTAGATTTATAGTAAAGAACTTTAACCAAAAACAAACGGGACAATTTTTTGATTTATATGACATTTTTAAAAAATAGTATTTGAAAAGTGTTATTTTTCAAAATTTCTCAAAACAAAAAGGGTGAAGAATAAAGAAAACAGGAAAAGATTTTGAACAAGTTATAAGGCAAAAAATTAGAACGAACAATTTTTTATAAACGATGTTTTGGTTGATTCTCGAAGAGAGACAAAATTATTATTACATACGTTTGAAAGCAAAAAACAAGATAGTATTAACGTACATAAGCAAAAATACATATAGAAAAATCAACAATACTAATTTATTTAACCATAAAGACCTATACCCTATTTATAGTACATTTTTTTTGACAAAAAAAATTCAAAATATATTTATGATCATTTTGTTATTATTATACTCCCTCCGTTCCTAAAAGATAAAAACTTTAC